GGAATGTAGTTTGAGTCTCTTGTCAGAGACATGTCAGCAACTGGCAATGATGAACTGTTTGGATCAGCTTGAGATCGTCTTGGTTGCTTGTGAGGAGTTCTCGGCACCGCTGATGTCGCGGACGCAGAAGCCGAAGAACCGGCGTCCCCGTCTGAATCAGACATTGACGCACTGCCTCCTTTAGGCCGTTTTCGGCGACGGATCGGCATCCTTCTGAAGTTGTTCACTATTGAGTCAAGGAGTTTCGAACTTTTATTCACCACTCCTATCTGTTGATACTGACGAAATTAAGCGTCTAACTATTAACTTATTAAGCGTTATTAAGCGTCTAACTATTACTGACGAAATTAAGCGTCTAAGAGCAGAACAAATACAAACCTACGTCCGTCTTCGACCAGCGCTGCAATCCAAAAAACCAGTTGTCAGTCCTTTGATCCCTCAATCATCTATTCATGACTAATGTCATAATCACTATCATAATATGCGGAAGTGCTCTCTGCAATCATCAAAAGTCAGCCGGCTTGCTTTTTCCACCTTTCATTCCAATATCCATGATCACTGCAAAAGTATAACTATTTATCCTCATTATTTTTTCATGTAGGATTTATCATTACTAGCATTTTTTTCGTCTGTAATCAGGTGAACGGCAGTTGACCCTTGTCGTGTCTCAGCCATGCAGAGTTGCAGTCTTGCAGACGATGATGCAGTGCTGCTTAGTGCTTCTCTGCGACTTGCGTTGGAAGTCGGAAAAGGATGTTTTTCCAATTTACGCCACCGTTGTTGCTATGGTAACCGGAAATGACCGCAAACAAAATCTGAATGAAATTGGCAGACCTTTATTATTTTAAGAAAATAAAATTACTATGTACCTTTAATTTCGTCCTTTTAATTAGTACCTTTAATTTCGTCCTTTTGCAAAGGTGTAATGTCACTAGATTGCTTGAATCGCAGATTCACGAGAAATTTAAAAGCGAAGAAAACTCCACATAAATTCAGCATTTCTCTATTGAAACGTTTCGGAGACCAAGCTCCATTGTCAGTTCGATAAATCTAGAACATAAATACAGTCAGAAAATTAATAAAGTTTGGAGTCAAAAGAAAAAAAACAGAAGTTACAACCTAAATTTACAGGCAAAGGGCAGAATAATAAAGAAATACCTATCTATTCACGTTTTCTAATGGATAAGAACTGTAGGTAGCATTTAAACTAGGCTTCTCTTTAAAAATATACAATGATTCCAAAATGCGCAGATCGGAAGCAACTATAAGCTAAAACCTTAAAGTCAGTGTCGGACACCGGAACGTTGCACTGTTCGGCGTGAGTGCGCACAGCCAAATGAGGAGGGCGCGATAGTAACTGCCCAGTCCTATAACTCCTCCCTTTATGCTCAGCGACCCTAGTGTAAAGGTTGCGTCATCCCAACGTACGCAGATGCACATCGTGCACAACTAAATTTATAAATTAGGGACGATCGCTTGTGAGAAGGGAGGATATCTTTGTACCTAAAAAAACGAACCTATTTTGAAATTATTCGCCAGTAATATACGAAGATTAATGTCCGGAAAGTATTTAATAAACAAATCTTTTAATTCTCTTGACATAACTTCGGACGCATGGCCGAAGTATGGAAAAGAACAGTAAACAATTTTTCTACTATCAGGCTCTGGAACAACTTCACTGTATCGCTTTGACACGAATTTCTTAATCTGGGTATACACCATGCCAGAAGGAAATCCATTAAGCGAGAAGACATTGCGCAAAAATGAAATCCATTAAGCGAGACGACATTGCGTACGTTCGGATGACGGCACGCAATCTTTACACTAGGGTCGCTGAGCATAAAAGGAAGAGTTATAGGACTGGGCAGTTACTATCGCGCCCTTCTCATTTGGTCGTGCGCACTCACGCCGAACAGTGCTACGTTCCGGTGTCCGACACTGTCTTTAAGGTTTTAGCTTTTAGTTATGGTGCTTCCGATCTGCGCATTTTAGAATCATTGTATATTTTTAACGAGAAGCCTAATTTAAATGCTACGTACAGTTCTTATCCATTAGAAATTGTGAATAGATAGGTATTTTTGTATTATTCTGCCCTTGGCCTGTAAATTTAGGTCTTAACTTCTGTTGTTGTTTTTTCTTTTGACTCCAAACTTTATTAATCTTCAGACTGTATTTGTGTTTTAGATTTATCGAACTGACGATGGAATGGTCTCCAAAACGTTTTCAATATAGAGAAATGCTGTATTTTTGTGGAGTTTTCTTCGCTTTGAAATTTCTTGCAAAGGTATAGTTTTGCTTGCTCACGGTTAATCAGATCTCTTTACAATATTAGCATAAGAGCATCTATTTTTCATTCGGTGTAAATGAGGGTTCATTAAAACTTTCATTGATTTTTAGTAATTATTAGCTTTTCACTTTAGATTCCTTTGAATAGTAGTAGCGTTTAGCGCACATCATGCACTCAATCATTTCCAGACATTGTTATTGCGTGATTATGTTGGAAGGAACTACCTATACATACTCTGCATGAATAATTAGTGTATAATAATGAATTAATGAGACATGTCCTCTAATTATTTCGTATCATGATAAAACGGTAATTATTTCGTATCCTGATAAGTGAAAAAAAAATCATTTATTTACTGTCGAAAAAGGCGAATAACACCCATATTTACGATTCTCTCAATAAGCTAATTGGAGCTATATTAAATGAATGTCCTCGTTGAAATTTTAAAACACCGATCGATTTCATTCTATGACACAGCTAAGGAGACTCTCCGTCAAAGGTGGTGCTGACCATAAAGGAAGACATGTCGTAGGCAGGACGATTGCCGCTGTAGGCATTTAGGACTTGGATACCCCAACTTATGAAGACGAAAATGGACGCAGCTTATTAATTCTTTCATTCGGAACCGCCTCTTCGTCAAAATTTATCAACGATGTAAAAAAAGCTCTCGATAAAATTAGTTGCAGTTTTATTTTAGATAGTACAGTGGTTATGTAGCCGCAGTTTGACGCATCTCTTATAGCATTTGTTTACAATGAGTAGTTTTCAGCATCACTTTTTCTCCACGTGTCACTTTGCTCCCGAGGCTGACCCGTTAGGGGAGTGACATTCATGTGGTTGAAATTTGTACAATTAAAAATCATGTTCAATAGAAAAGATCCTACGTGAACACCTAGGCAAAATAGCGATGAATAATTGCCGCGGAAAACATCTGATATATCAAATTGTTCAGTTGCATAATTAGCCTTTCTATATTTCTCAGAACTCTCAGGCGCACTCGACAGAGTATTCAAACATACATACGCACTTTAATAACTAAATTTTTATAACATAACAATATATGGGTTAGCATTGAACGCAGTATTTTATTTTCCCATATAGCTGCTTGCTTGAGATTGGTTTTGTATTGGAAACGTTTACTTCACAGGTTTTCAGTCATGTTGAATACTCATTGATAGTTGAATGAACATGAAAGAAAATTTGGTGAGGGGAGATCTGATCATTTCGATGATTAGCGTAAGAATGACTTGATTCCGAACCCATCGGGCCATCGCTAAACATGTTTGTCTGGTCTCCGTCAAGCAATTATTGAAATAAATTTTTAATCATGTGAACAATAATTGCATTAACAAAACGCTTCAAAACCTACCGATTTTAGCTCGCCAAAGTGGACCTATTTCTTACAAATCACTTAGTACTACAGCCAGAGGCAGAGGTTTACTGCTCATACATAGAGTTGTAATAATTATGAACAGCAGCAGACTGGCATCAAACACTTATTGTTATACTGCGTTGTCTATACTGATTCATTTTGCTGAATATTGAATAGTATCTATGCGAAAAACGCGTCTCGGTTCTTCAAAATTGCAACCATGAGTTTAAATAACTAAAATTTGTTTTACATTAACCGCTAAATTGTTGAGGTAACTTAAACCTGAAAGTAGTTATTTCTAAAAAAAATTCATCCAATGATCAGACAATAACATTACTTTGCGAAATAAACAGCTAACGTAAAAAATTGAACCTTGTTATACGCATGGTTATACGGATTTTCACTAAAAGGAGATTGGTCTTGAGCCAATAACGATCAAGACGTCCCACAACCTCATACATCCATGCCAATTAATACCTGTTTTTAAAGGCCAAAAATCAATGCTATTCACGAAATGGAAAAAGTATTAGTCATTTCTGAAGAACCGAAGAGAACATATAAAAATATTTTTATTGCTAATCGCGTAAAGATCCATCATTAATTTCCGGAATGAAACAGATTCTGTAAGAAAAACGTGAACATTAATAAATATGAACTCTAAGCTGACTGACCTTTTTAAGTTTCGTTTCAATAAAAAAAAATGTTGCAAACAATCTGTAATAATGCGTATCACATCGTATTGCTAATAGTTACTCGTATTATGAATTTCATTCAGATCAGTTCATAATTGTGGGAATTGAGCTGTTATGTTGTTCTTGAGTTCGCTAGCGTGTTCGCGAGTGAGTTCCGAAAAGTGTTGACGGAGTTAATTTAGATACGTACTTCTACAGCACGACAACGCATGGTTGAACTATATATTAGTTCAGCCATGATGGTGACGACAATACTATCGCGTGTTTTGGGATTTGCACAATTTTAATATGAAATTATAAAAAACTGAAAAACCTAAATTATTAGTTTATTTGCCAAGCATCTTTGCTATTTCAACAATTTACCATTCTTCAGGTATTACACCGTTAACATATCTCTGTCACTTAGGTATCATGGATCAACGCCATTGATGCATCGAAATGCTGTCAATCCATATTCCATCACTGAAATGCTTGACCATCACAAGAAATAAAACTAAAATGGATTATAATTGCAATTTAAAGTGGTTCAAATATCAAGAATGTGTCATTACTCAGTTAAACTGATGTGATTTTCCCGAGTTCGTAATCGAATTGTGAATATGATGAAGCCTAAATACGGCAGAGATGACCCTTAAACCAGGCAAGTGTAGTCGACTGTAGCTGGAGTACCCGTCAGTTGCAGAGCTGACGTTGGTGGAGTAGGTGTGCCGTGCCTGACGGTCAGCTTCGTCGCTTCTCTTTCATTCTGCTCCGAGTGGCCCTTTAAATCAATCTCTCCTGGCCCAAAGATTTCCATTAGTGAATTTGGAAATTAAGCGTGGTCTAATTTGGTTAAACTGCTCTCTTAGTTGCCACATGTAACGTATTTCTTGATTATGCATCAATACTGACATTCCTGTAATTTGGAGAACTTGAAGCTCCGTTTTGACAGCTCGTCTCGTCTTGTTCAAGCTGTCGTTTACATTTAGCGCCGGGTTTTCATGTTAAAGCTTTTATTAAATTTGCCCTGATTGACCCTATAAGTCCCTGTTTATGTTGGTGGTGATTACTGATCCTCAATTAATATGATTAAAACCAGTAAAATTGTGGGTTGGTCCCCTCACCACCTTAGCCAACAAAACCAAGTGCACCGCGACCTCAACAACCAACATAAAGTGCATCACCACGATCACAATCATCCGCACGAGTGGATGACATCTTACAGTAGCACTGCTGCTATTGCTAGCACTGCTATTATCACAGCCACTGCTAATACAACTCCTAAAGAACCCGCAACCAATACCTCCCTAGATTCCGGAGTGGCAGGACTTAGAGATACACCTGTGCACACTCCCGGGCCGCTCGTCAACAATAACAATATGCCTGGTCCAAAGACTAATTCTCCTTCCGATAATGAAGATCATAATGTGCCAAAGTTCATTGTGGATCATAGTACGAGAACAACCTTTATGAAAGGACGCTTCCTGGGCAAAGTGAGTACTACTATCTATTAATTAAGGTGAAACCTCTACTATTTATTAATAGATTAGGAAACCTCCCTCCGTCATGAATGCTTTTTCTTCCTGATAATTTCTAACATAGTTTTCAGATTGAATTCTTTGTCTATGCCTTAACGGTAACAATTAATTAATTAATTAATTAGTATTAATTTCCTGTCGATCAGCCGGTGACTGCGTTGAGTGATAACTTGAGTTTACCGTCAATGAACAGAGGCTTGTCCAGCAATTTAACGCGGCTTAATTATGTTCAAAGGTTCGTTGAAAGATTACCTCATAGCCTAATATTACCACACCACCTTCAACAATCGAGATTGAATGTGATTTCCAGCACTGGTTTAGTTGGCTCCATGAATTGATGCTCACGTGTATCACGTCGCGTGTTTTTTTTTCAATAGTTTATCTCTACGCCTTGCGTTAGTAAAGAGCCTCTAGTTAGGTTAAAATTCTCTGTGTAAGTTAGGGCACGCGCACCATTCTCATGAGAAACCCGACATGTTGTAAGTTGTAACACAACCTTGTGTCGAACTCCATCAAGAACTTGCTTACCTATTTCTGGGGGGGGGGGAGGTTCTGGAACACTGGAAGGATTACCTATTTCTAACATATTTTACGTTCATTTTATTTGTGGGTGAAATTGTAAATTTTCGTAATCTATGCTCCGAGTGACCATGAAAACAAGAAACGACTGAAACGTGCTAGCAAATTCTGACGTTTGTCTGGTTTACAAGGACAGCTTGCAGCTTGACGAGGATAGTTCACTAGAGTTTTAGTGTAGTGAGAATCCGTTTGCGTTTCGTTTTAATTATACTTATGTGCTTGAAATTTAACTTAAATGATAATTTTTATGTCTGATGGTATTCTTGCTTAGTAAGATTCAGGCTGATGATATTAGTCTTGCTGTCTGTTGTCGACTTTATGATCTATAACTATCATGGCATGGAGGTATCGAGGTCCAGGGCTAGGATATCAAATTCGTAGTTTGTGTGGCTTTCGACTCCATTGAAAGATTTAGAAATTGCATTCATTTAGTTCTCGGTCTCTTATCACTTAGTTGAACTAATTACTAAATTTTGTTAGTCTTCTAACGAATTTAGTCATAGGTATTCCCTGTAGGGTAAGGGTTTGACCGTAGTCTCCTGTACTAGACAACGATGTGTATTGAATAGTCTGAATGAAACAGCGATGTGTATTTAAAAGTTCGAATCAGAAATTGGATTGACTGCTAAAGTTTCTGACCACACAACCGAATTTGAGTGAGTTGCTGTTGCTACGATAGGTACTTCGGTTGCTCCAGTGACAGCTTTGTTGCTGCTACTAAGTATAAGCTTCATGGAATGCTAGCCACCATCGAACGTTCTGAATGTATCTGCCAGGTTCGGTAACATCTTAGCTGATAGATTAATTCTGTCTGTGCTGTTTATGGGAAGCTCGCCAGTTGTGCTTTGTTGACACGAAGTTTTCGCATCGTTCGTTCGATACCAGTTACGATTACGAGACAGGACATTTTTCGTTCAGGACATTCCAATGTTGAGCTATTTTTTCAAACAAGTTTGAAGTTATTTATTGTATTTTTTATTTGTTTCGTTTATCAAGTCTTTTTTGTATTGGTTCCTATCATCCCAAGTGATGGGGTTGGGAGTAGCCCACTCAAACTTCAATATTTATTATAAAGAAATTCCTGTGGGACAAGTGTGGATGCAACGGTTGGTCACCCGTTCTTAATTACATGGGCTGTGAGAGCGTCGTTAGTTATTACTCAGTAATTTTCTATGGTGTTTTACCTCGCCCAACACCAGCGTGGTCAGCAGCTTTCCGAAGCTCGACGTCTTCATTGAAGCAGCTTAGCTTCATTGGTACCACGACTTTACTGATTTGAGAAAATAATGAAAGCCTTCGGTGGAATGACGTCGAATATAAATTCCTCCTAACTACGTCTGGCTTTTAGTTGAATAAATAAATGCAATGGTGTTATCGTACCAATGCAAGTGAAGTGAGTAACGTAACGTATAGCAGTCGCGGAAATTGATGATTAGAATAAATTCGGCAATTTTTTGTCCCGATTACCCGTTATTCTCATTCGGTCTGAATAATAACTTGGATAATTTCGAAACCTGCATGGATGGCTAGGATCACGTTCTACCCGTACGGTTCTCGGTAATTTGCGCAGGTGAGATGGACTGAGTCATAAAGTTCTATTTTTACGCTAACTTCATGTGCCATGTATGGCTTACAACTTGTAATAAACCTGAAAAAGATGGGCGTGAAGTGATGAAACTCTAGTATAATTTTGTCTTCTCTTGCCTCTCGATCTCTCACGGCTTGGCTTCGATAGGAAACCAATTTGCGCAGCGCTTGAGGCGAAAGTTTTTCGTGCCAGGTACGAATTATACGATGAGCGAAGTGAAGGAAATAGGATCGAGCTGCGCAGCCGGCACCAAAACATGGATGTGTTTTGGAAGCGCCATAAAAGGAGCGTTCGCTGAGCCGCGTTCCGCTGTAGGCAACGTCTTCGCTTGGTGCGCCTGTATTGTGTGTCGGCTCATTATTGCTACAATCCTTGTTGGGTGTTGGTGGGTCTATAGCAGTGTGTTAATTACCTTCATGATCACCAGTGGTGTGCTTGTCGACAAACCCGTAGGTTCTTCATTACAATTACACGTCATTGTTCTGCGCCGGTTCCCTTAAAGTCTATATATGAGCATTAAAAACTACCGGAATAAAATTTTGAATATCGTCAAAATTTTTAGGACTTACTGATACTAATTTTCACATGTTACCATTAACATATTGTGTGACAATTTTATTTCGACTATTCAGACTTCCATTATATGTCGGTCACTTCCACGAGTTTAAACAACCATGCACTTATATTAACCTGTTCCATACTCGCTTCAGACCCAGGAACAAACGTGAAAATGAGTTTTATGCTGAAACTGTGCCTCGAATTTGGAGCATTCATGAAATGTTAAGAATCTGTTTGTGATCAGTGAAATATTTCATTACCAAGATTAATAATTGTTTTATGCCTGCTTCATATTCCAATCATGGTCTTTCGCCATCACTTGACCATTTGCTGCCAGCTAGGTAGTGAACGTAGAATGCGTACTAAACACACGGTATATGCAGCCCGCTGCTTACATGAGGACACGTCCATTTTGTATTCAATCCAGCACCTCAACTAACATTCCATTGGCATCTACATGAATACAATTTCTTTAAGGCTTCTCGAAAACTATATTCGTAGCGACAGTTATGGTTTATCAATTTGTTATAGGTTTGTGTTTGCGAACGAGCGACGTAACGAATATTTAATGTAGCTGTCGTTCTTTTTGAATGGAAATACTTTTTGCTGTTGTTCTGCGCTTGAATGGTTGCTTATTCATAATAGTTAATTGATGTTGATTTTGATGCCTATGCTCTTTTGATGTTCTGAAAGTTAAGCGTCACACGAGCTTCATTGAGGTGCTGTACCTAAAGTCTCCTACAGTCCAGTCGCTTTGCCAGATGGTTTGCGTTTCTGTACATGCTGGTGTTTCGCAGAGTTACAAGTGCTACAGCGCTCTTTAGCACTAATAAACTTTAATTTTCGTCATTTCAAAGCCGTTGAACGTAGGTATTTTGTTCTACCATATTCTCATATTAAATAGATACCTATATGCACAAGAGATAAGCTATGTGCAATTGTTAGAGTGCAGTTGTTCAAAGATGGTGTCTCATTACAATGTAGTTCATTCGTTTTTCCACTATCTAGTTAATCTGCTTAACGTCGTTTTTCACTTACTATATTAACAGGGGAAATACAAACTTTCTGATCGTAGTAAGTAATAAACTGACCACGCAATAGGTGAATAAAGTCTAATCTTATATCCGCGATGTATATCTCGATATCTAATCAATTTGTCAGGGTGTCTCTTTGTGTTATCTTTTGGCGTGACAGTTTGACATTGTAATTCGACTTTTGCGCTGTCCGTAGATGGTCTTTTTTCTGTATTGATGGCGCAATATTCTTGGAATCATGATAGGTTTTTCTTGGGCAACAGTTCTTTGGACCTACTGAGTGCGATGGAGAGTTTTGTTTTCGGCCATTTCGCTCTCATTTCAGCTAGCTACGTAAGTGAATTTTGCTTGTAATTTTTTTGGTTATCTTCTTCAAATTGTAATGACTCTTTTGAATATGAAGCTGACGAGTAGAAATAATTGAACATGTAGCTGAATTACTGAACATTATCGTTCAATTATCTCGGTTAGCTAATGTTTACGGAACGTTGATTATCACTTCGGCAGCTTCGGACGGTGCAATTGTTTCATCGTGCTCGGGGATTACTTATCACACGCGTGTTCGCTGTGGTGTAATTCCCGTGCTAAGACTTCATCCGAGTTTCATTCATATAGACAAGTGCATGACAAACCGCTATTTTGTTTGTTGTTCGTATAACTTGTTTGGTTTTCAACATATTTTCAGCGCTGAAGCTTCCGTGATAGACGCGACGCTAAACCAAGATTTACCACCAATGCTCAAGAAAAGCTGGTTTTAGCGTAGTAAATTCGCTCATTACTTTATTGGGCTTCAACGATTTGCTGGCTGAACGGAGTGTAGTGTAGTTCAGACACAAACTAGGGAGATGTGCTATCCGTTTTAGCAGTAGTACCATATGATGTCATCGAACAGTCCTGGTTTGCTGCCAAGTTCGTGTCGGCGGACGCTCAATCGTCCTGCTATGGAGGGTCTCGAAAAAAAAATCGCGTTAATTTCGCTGATTATGCATCGTGTTTGGCATTACGAGCTCCGTTGTAACACAGTTATTGGCTATTTTGTTCATTTTTCTTAGAATTCATGCTTAGAAGTTATTGAAAACAAATGTGAAGTTATTAGTTGCAAAAATTTTAAAACTAGAAATAATGCCAAGGAAATACACAAAATTTTTACACGTAAAACGTATACGTATATATGTTAAAATGGATTTCATGTACGT